AAACACTGGAGCAGGTTTCCCAGAGAAGTTGCGGCTGCCCCATCCCTGGCAGTGTTCCAGGCCAGGTTGGATGGGGCTTTGAGAAACCTGGTGTAATGGAAGGTGTCCCTGCCCATGGAAGAGGGGTTGGAACTAGATGATCTTTGAGATCCCTTCTAACCCCAACCATTCTGTGATTCTATGACTTCAGGGCATCAACACCGTGAAAGAAATCGGCCATTTGCAACTCTGCATGCGCCCAGCTGCTCCCTTCCCTTCGTGGCAGGGCATAGCTGAGTAGATGAGTAGCATTCGTGCTGTTTCTGATCTAAATCCTCTTTTCCACCTGTCCTTGTGTCTCTCTTTCTCTCTCCCTCTCTCCCCATCTCTGTGTTGTCGTTTTGCGTGTCGCCCTCCATGCAGGTGGAAAAGCCTAGCGTAAAGCCTTCCAAACCAAAAAAGACCACAACAAGCCATAAACCCCTGAAAAAGGCCAAAGACAAGCAGATTGCATCTGGCCGGGCTGCCAAGAAAAAGAGCGCCGAGACCTCCAACACAGCAAAGCCAGAGGACAAGGAGAAAAGTAAAGAGATGAACAATAAACTGGCTGAGGCAAAAGAGTAAATGTCACTGCACTTTCCTTTCTTTCTTGATTTTTTTTTATTTTCCTTTTCTTTCTTTCTTTCTTCCCCCTTACTTTTTTTTTTTTCCTTTGATTAAATAAAGGCCACAAAATTAATTAGAGGCTTCTAATCTGCTTTTTGTTCTGATTGTATTAGAAGCTTTTCTGTTTTATTTCCAAGGAGGATTAGGGAATCCTTGTTTCTGAGGTCAGGTTGTTCTGCTTTGCCTGCACAACACGGCTCTGCACAGAGTGAGAGATGTGGGAATGCACAAGTGGAGTCGTAGGAGATGAAGGTGATGGACCAACTGTGATCGTGTCCAACAGCCTATCCCTTTCCTCGGGCTTGGTCCTTCAATGCTTCGATGGTGTGGAAGCGCCCGTTGAGCCGTGGAGAGGCTGTGCTCTCATTCCATGAGGCTCTTTTGGGGTTGGCCGTTGTTCGGTCGTCTCCCACTGGTGTCAACAGGTGAAAGGGTTTGGAGGCGGAGAGGATCAGAGGTTCATTCGTGGTGCTGCAGATCCACTGCAAATCTGCCAGAATCAGTGGTGTGGCCAAGAGCAATTTCCCCTGGTGACACTGGTGGGACTTTTGCTCCAAGAAGCAACGGGAAAGGAGATCCTGTGCAAATGAAGGGCCAAATCCTCCCCCAGGGTAGCTGGGGGGTAGGTCTAGCTGCATCAAGGCAGCTTCACCCATCAGCACTGCTTGAAGTCCTTGATTTAAAAAAAAAACAAGGAGCGAGGGAAGACACAGAGTGCAGTGAAGACTTCCCAAGCATGTGGCAGGTCAGACTAGGTTATCAGCAGGCTATTCTTCCCTATTGTTTTCCCTAGGTAATGGATCTTTTTAGTTATTCCTGGTTTGTTTTGAATCTTGGCACTTCTAGGGTGCCAGTAGACAGAGCTAGGCTTCAGAAAGAGGTTTAGTTTGCAGATGTGACCTTCCAAGGGGTAGAAAAAAATGAGTCACCAAGGTTGGCTAGAGCTGTCAGGCCCCGTTGTTTTGACTCTACCAGCTGTTGGAGTTCATGTTGGCTCGTAAGCATCCTAAGAAGGCCATAAACCAGTTGCTGGGATCCCTAGACTCCCTCCGGGCAAGATCTCAGGGTTTCAAACTTATTTACTGTGCTCTTACTCTAGGAAATCCCCATGCCCAGCACAACCAGTTTGGAAGCTGTCAATACAGCAGGACCATTTGTCAGCGAGTATGAACTGGCCCAACAGACTGGCATTGCATACCCCAAAATTTGGGTCGTTGTGTCACGGGGAGCTGGGAGAAGTATGGTCCTAATCCAAATTTACGTGCCTAACTCCTGGATTGGGTTCCTGAATACGTGAGGATTAATCTTGATCCCACCAAACTGAGCTGTGAAACTCTCCTGTGGCAGAGTAGCTGCAAGTCAAGATGCAGGGTTCTTCTTTATATTTGCAGCTCAAGATTTCTATCCTAGCCTGCAGTCCAGCTTGAAACTTTGGGAGAACAGACAATTGGGAAGAATGAAGAGAGAGGGATGGCAAGTAGGGTAGGGAGGTGGTGTAAGAGGAGCCTATCAGAACTGTGTTGCTGTAGAGATGTTTGAAGGAGGGAAGTCTTGCTGCTAGGATATTTTAGAGATGTGAAACTATCTAACAGAAAAAGGGACGGGACAGGAGGGTGAGGAGTCCCGTTTTTGGGGTCTCACCCCGTTAGAATTGGGTCTTTTGGAAACATAAATGAGTGGTGGGCTACAAGGCTGAGAGAAAGTTTCCAAAGAGGAGGAAAGCTCTGTGGTATACAGATAGTGACATTTGCTGGCCTTAGTGATGAATAAATGCCAAGTTCAGTGTATTGTGTGATGTGTCCTGTTTGCCTTGCGCTGACAGCCTAAAGCTTTGAGTATAAGTAAGTGTAGTGTTCTGAATTCAGTGGTGTACCTCCAAGCTTAGCTATGTTAGAACTGTGTGCTATGAGCTAGTCAGGTTGTGTATGTGGAAAATATATATCCATATATAGAAATATATATATATATTTAAACCTCCGATGTTTAGGAGGAAACCAGGGAAATCCTCCAGGAAGTAAAACTGTGGAAATCTTTGCGAATGTAGTGCATTTATTGGTGTGCATGCTCCATGGAGACGCTGACCTGTCCATATTGACCATTGCTTTTCTGAGTGCTCAGAAGCCCCTGCAGCACTGCTCGAGTGCAAAGCTCAGCTCTGTCTCCAGAGCAGCTCGGCGAAAGGCTTGCGTTGAGCTGGTGGAGAAGAGTGCTGCTCACAGCTCTTCCCACCCCATCGCACAAGGGACAGCTGGCCAGAGAAGCCTGAGCTTCCAAGACTTGGTGTGATTCCTTGGCATTTAGATGCTTCACGCATCTTCACGCTCCTCAGTAACGTCCTTTCCTATCGCAGGAGGTAGCAACGGCTGTGAAGATGACGTGTCACAGCAGGCAGAACATGTCAGGAAGGCACATAGATAGTCACCAATAGCCCAACACACTGATGTCACTGTACATAAGGAAAGACCATGCCAAACAATTCTCCCGAGCATTTTTTGGCCCTAAGTTTCACATAGAAAGAGCCACCACGCTTGCCACCATTTCACCTTGAATTCAATGGGAATTTAGCCCTTGACTTCAAGGGTGACCAAATTTTACCCAAGGAACATCATTAAGATGCCACCTAATCCAATCTAACATCGTTAAGTCTACCTAATCCAAGCATCTCCGTGACTCTGGATGAACTGCTCATCACCCAGGGCTTCAGGATTGCTTCTTCTCCATGAGGAGCATCCATCACAGTGTTTGAATGAAACATGAACAGTGAGCGGTCAGAATATGGCCTTATGTTTCCTTAATACACAAAGTTTTTGGTGGCATCTAACTAGAAAGCTAGGTATGAAGCGCTAGCCAGTCATCTAAATTCCCTCTCTAGTGAAGGAACTTTCCAAGGGCCATTGAGCTACCTATTTTGGACACCTCTCTTTGGGTGCAATGAATGATCCTTGGAAGGTTTCAGTCTTTGCAGAAAGAACTGATAGAGCTTGGGGACCTCCCTCTTAAGACAGCAACAAAACAGGGATACCAATCCTGGCCTTTACTCCATGTGCACCAGGTCCTCAGGATACGTCCAAGCACCCAGTTTTTAGCTTTGCATTAAATGCCAGGAACTGCAGCAGAGTCCGGCCTCAGGGTGAAATCCTGCATCGCTCCACCTTCCGCAGACTTTTGCATCTGTCCAACCCGCTCAGGTTTATCAGAAAGGAGACCAAATCTCTGCCGTTTCCAGTTCACTTTGGACTCTGAGCTTGTCGATCCCCCCGGGTCTGCTGTTCTGTGTTTCCAGCTACCACGACGCTGATTCTGTTTCACCGCTGATGTGTGACACGTTTCGCTTTCCTTGTAAAAAAAGGACAAAAAAAAAAAAAGAAAAAGAAAAAGAATGTTTTGCTTTTTGCCCTGTGAAAGTTCCTACGCTGTCTTCTCGCTTGCTTTCTCATTTCCACTGTACTGTACTGTTCCTCCTTTCTGCAAAATGGTGCTAACTGCTGACTGAGCTCCTGTTTCCTGTCTGCTTTGCACACCGGTCACCCGCTTCTCCATTTGCAACGCGTCCGGTGTAAAGACGTGGCTCCCGTGGATTCCACGAACTCTTGCCTCTTGGAGGCGGATAGGAAGTGTCTAATTAATATTTTGTGGCCTGGGTTTGGTTGCATATCACACAATTGTCTCTTGTAACGTGTTAAGCACACCTCCTCGTGGTGCTTTTTCATTCTTAGTGTTCTGATGAGAGTGACACACACAACCCAACACCCCCCCCCACACCCACGAATTAATGTATAGCCAATTGATTGTGACGTGCTTGTGATCTTTGCTTGCTCAAAGGGGCTTTTTTTCTTTTTTTTCCAATGATAAATAAATGCTAAAGACGAATACCACCTCCTTGATCTTGTTTTCTCGACAAGAAGCACAGTTAAGTGAAAGAAAAACGCCCTTCCAACCGTAATCAGATCCGTGTTGGCTTAGAGCCACCACCACTTCCATGCCTGCCGTAGGGACAACTGGGCTGTCCCAGTCTGACTCCCCTTAGATGGCTGCTGACCTCAAACTAGCCTGACGCCACAGCTAAGCGTTTGCAAAGACGGACAGTGAAGTCGTGTGGACGGGGCAGGTAGTTGGCTTTGATTTTCTACGCGCCCAACGGTTGTACGGCATTGGCGCGGTGAGCGCCTCGCGTGCAGGCTGCTGGTGCACCTCGCTCCTGTCCGCCTTGCACCGGGTCAGGGAGCGGAAAGTTGGCCCCATCAAGAGCTGGAGGGAGGGGAGGTGCTGTGGGTGAGGTCGTTTAATTACGCACCCTTTTCCGAACGCCTACAGCTTTTGCTTTGGACCAAAACTGGAGGTGTTCAAGGCCAGGTTGGACAGAGCCTTGAGTGGCCTAATCTAGTTGAGAGGCGTCCCTGCCCATGACGGGGAGGTTGGATTAGATGATCTCTAAGGTCCCTTCCAGCCTGTGCCATTCTATGATTCTATGAAACCACCCAGAAGGCCTGTGAGGGGTCAAGGGGCTATTAATCCTCATCGAAAGGAGGTGGCAAATGCTTGGGTTGGGCACTTCCAGGGTGCCACGAGCCTGGCCACCACTGGACAGGCGTTGGGCAGTGTCTGTGGAAGTGCAAAGCACTGATTTTTATATTGATGAAAGCGTTGGCTATCTGGAGAAAATGATGGCTGAGAAGAAAGCAGGGCTGAGGGCACAATTTTATTTTAAATGGTGAACCCTAATCTTTGTTTAATCTCTTTTTTTCTTTTAAGTATCCCGTAAGCTCCTACCTGCAATTTTTATTTTTAATCATGTTTTCTCTTTTAATGGATATTCCGGTAACATCCCCACCAACCTGGGGAAAATCGTCTGCATTGGGGTTGTGATTTGAAATCCCTTCTCCAACATAGCTCTGATGACTTCCATGGAGCACCCACCCTTTTCTGCCTTATGGTTTCTGGGTGCTATTTCCCA